GGCTTGAGAAGAAATTCGGGCCGACTTGCTCTGAAGCTTGGTTTAAATTAATGGAGATTTGCTGCTGAGATTTAGGCTTCACATGGTGTTGGTGATTAGGGTAGGGCTTCTTGAATCTGGTTGTGGTGGCGGCTGAGAAGAGGAGTTGGATAAATAATTATCTGGAAAGAGAAAATCATAGTAAGTCTTAATTAATCAAACTTCGTGACTTTCAATTTAAGTTACAAGTTTCGTACTTTTGACAATATTTAACAAAGGAGTTGTAGGAGGTGTAATTTTCTCTTCATTCAATCATCATAAATTAGTAAGCCCAATCATAAATGGGCCGACCCAAATTGTGGCATTGTGTGGACCACGCGTTGTCACGTTCCCCCAATGTTCGAGCTTAACTCCATTAAATCACCCTTCCTTTTTTTAACAGCACTCTTCAAGCTGGTTGAGCTCAGAATTTGTTGTTTTTTGCCGATCGGAAAATGCTGGGCCGTTTAGCTTCGCGACGCCTTCTTGAGATCCGTCAAGCTTTCCGTCAGCTTCCCCAGGTTTTTCCGTTTCTCCATTTTTTTCGGATGGCATATTTTTTTATTTCTTTCTGGTTCTCATTGGAAATGGTAATGGTGATTTTTTCAGGCATCGAGATCATTATCGACTGCGTTGAACTATGTGAGTGGTTGATTGTGTTTTAGTTCTCTGGATGTGATAGCTGCTCTGTGGATTTTATTAGCATTTGATTTGTTGTTTTTGAAATGAAAATTGATTGGATAAGTTTCTGAGGTGCAGCATATCGATGGTCCGGATAATAATCCAGACCTGCCATGGGAATTCACCGATTTGAACAAGGAAAAGGTTAGTTGTGATCGGCATTTTCGGCTAATTGGTTTGTTTTATTTGAAATTGTAATGCACTTGATTTGAGATTTCAGTAACTGGAGAGCTTGTTTCCAGTAAATGTGCTGTTTACTGATGTTTAGCTACTGTGAGGGAGGATCGGGGTTTGCTTCCTTGGCTTGTGAATTGTAGATATCCTTGTTTGTTTCGACATATTCTTCTGTGTTGTGATCATTGGTGACATTCATGGTTCCGACTTTCGTGCCGTGGTTGGAGCAAGTAGAATGATCTCTATTCTGTTTTCGTTATGATCCTTACCTTCTCTTTGTTTCTTATTTGAAATTGTGTGATTCATTTGAACTCTCTATATAGTTTAACCTAAATGGTGCTACATTGGTGAAATGTTCATTAATATATTCAACAATTGATGTTTACTAAGGTTTTCCATGTAAATTCCCATTATATATTAATGTAAATTGTAATGAAGTTTATGCTTTCACAATATTTTAAGAATTGACATTTTTTGTTT